TGTGTGTGTGTGTCTGTGTGTGTGTGTGTGTGTGTGTTTGTGTGTCTGTGTGTGTGTGTGTGTGTGTGTGTGTCTGTTTGTGTGTGTTTGTGTCCACTTTTTTGCAAAGCTGGAGCCATTTCTGTGTCAACACTTGCATCATCTGGGTGTGAAGGGCAGTCCGGAATATCCTGCAAACTATTTTGGTATATTTTTATATGCTTTTTAGTTTAATTTTAGTCAGTTTTCCTGTCAATTAGGTTATGTAAGGGCCAAAGATAAGAGGGGCTACTATAGAGGGTAAGATTCAAAGGAAAGAAGGAGAGATAAGGACAACAGATATCTGATGGGCAACGTGTCTGTCTGGGTCCTCTTTGTTTTCTTTCATTTAATAATAGTCAGAAATTTAATTCTAAGAGAGATGGCGGATGTCTACATCTAGTTGCTTGATGGAAGCCCCATGCAAGCTCTGGGACTTGTAATCTCAAAATAATTTATAGCGTCGCGTATCCTGAACTTTGTTTTGTGACAGCAGTCATGTGAATTAAAGCAGAAATGGAAGCCATACACAACACCTATTTTTTATCATCGTCTATGTTTTGGGTAGAAAGCTGAACACCTTGAGAAAGGAAAATATTATATTATGTTTGTTCAAAATCTTTTCGTTCTTATTTGTTTTTTGCAAAATCAAAAATGTGTTTTTTGTTTCTAACTTTATTCACCTGTGCGGTGGACCCCCATTATAAAGTATGTACTGTACATTTATTTAACAATATGAACGGATCATAAAACTTCGACCTGCACTCTCATGATTCTCACATCCATTTTCCTTCTTATTGTGCAATACTCACCACCCTCCCTTTCTCTTAAGATTTCAGACTTTCTTCTGTCGTTCCTTGCAAAAACTTTCTTTTCCTGAACATATTTGTTTAATGTCTAGTTCAAATTGTTGGTTGTGATAATTCATTGCTGAAAAACAGACAAACAAAGGAAATTCTTTAACAGTTTCACTTGTAGCACGAGTAGCGTTGTGCTTGTTTGTAAAAACTAATGTCATTGAATATCTGGCTGCTAATGGATTGATCCAGTTTAATATTATATTATTATGCACTTATAATCTTTTGCAGTGCATTTTTAATACTGGATAATTGCTTTTTTGTTATGATTTGTCGAATGTGAAAAGCTGACGTCTGGGAATGACTGCTTGGCTGTAATTTTGAATCCATGTAATGTTTGTGAATGGTAGGCTTGCTGTCAGGTGAAAAGTTGTGAAGAACTGTCTGCTGAAGCAGTTTTTTTTTCTCCCAAAAAATTTAAGTTCTTTTTTTTTGTATGTTCAGGTTTGGGGTGGGGGGAGAAGAGACAGCTCAACAGTCAGAGGTAGGCCTACCACTCTCATGTTTTTTTTTTGGTCAGTATTAGATACTCTATACTTGTACAGGAACAGAGATATTTGAAGCGTGTTGACAAAATGATTTACTTCTCGGATTCGAGCCTTAAGGAAATAGATACATCATTCATAGTTTTTACAATTTATGAGAATGAAATAATAAAAGACAGGTAAGCTATAGTGAAAGAATATGGCACCAATAGCAAACCTACAAATTTGACCCTAATGTTGATTTTTGGACTATATCTCCATTTGTGGATTGTGAGAAGTAACTCATTTGTGGATTATGAGAAGTAACTCATTTTGTCAGCTCGCCTCACGTATTATGTGACATCTGACTCACGAAATCGATGCGGAATGTGACCTTGAACTTTACGGACATGAGTCACAGCGAAAGATCTTGTCAGTATGTTAGTGTTTTAGCGCCTATAAATTGCTGCTTACACTATATGCTTCCCAGGAAGTTGAGGTTGTTTCAGAATGCTCTCAGGTCTGCTGGGGTAATAGTATAGATTGTGAAGCGCTTAGAGCTTGCTGTTGAGCGGGGATTTGCGCTATACGAATGCTATCTATATTATTGAACAGAACTAAAACCATCGTTTGCTGAGCTAGTCCTTTATAGAGAAACTGGACTGTGATAAAAAGAGATAGAAAAAAAAAGACGACCTTCTAGAGACAGAATGACTGGAACAGGAATGAATAATGTAAAAATCCTCACAAGACTTTACGGCTGCCTTTGGTGTAGAAGTCCTTTATAAACATTCACAATGACATTATAACTGTGAAGGCCTTATTTATACTGCCATAGAGCAACAACTTGTGATTTATGTGAAAACCTGACACAAATAAACAGTGTGATACTGACTGATGATGTATAAATCCTAGCCTTACGGAAAGCTCAATGATACATGCCGCCATCTAACTGTTCAGATGTCCCACGCTCAACATTTCTACTTTTTGCTTTATTGCAGTTTCTTAATCTGTGGTATTGGTATGTAGTCTTAATCTATTTGGTTGAAATCTAAAATTCTAATTAAGGTTGGGAAATGCAAGAAAAGGATACATAAGGTAATTACAGCTTTTAAAGAATTGAAACAGACAGTCGTTTCTAGTTTTTTAGTTTTAGTAGAGGTTTTACGGCACTCGCAACTGCATAAGGTCATAATGAGCACCAAGGGGTGGATGTTAACAGACAAATCCAAACAGGGAATCAGACTTACTCTGCTCACCTCTCTAGCCTCAACAACACAAAGTCTGCTTCGACTATCAAGGCACCCTGTCAATAGCGGATCACAAGAGTGTGACAAACATAAAATAGAAGTAGGGGAAAATGACGATAGTAAGGATGAGGAAAGAAAAAGCAGCCTTTCCCAGTTGCATTTCAGACACAGTTATGAGCACAACATTGATGAATCAGCCCATTTATAATCTACTGTGCATAAGAACATATTTTCAGTGCCCGTTTTTTTCACTTGCTCAACACTCCTTCTCTGGCTCTTTCTGTGTCGTTTGTTTGTACGGGATTGTGTTCGCCACAGCCATCATGCCTGATATGTACAGAAATGTCTGAGGTTATTTTTCTTGTACAGTTTCTATTCTCATTTTCCCTGTACAGGCGAAAAAATAAGCCGGTCCGAGAGACTATTGACTTACTACTTAATGCCTTGAAGACTTACTTTTTCTTTCTGTAAGTCACGTGTAATTCTTTCTCTTTGTTGTTGGTTGACAGACGCGTATTGTATTACATACGAGATATTGGTCATTTTGGTGGTTTTCATCCTGGATGTTATTTTGTTGAGTAATCGGAACATAATACATTTTCATAATGGCGTTTGGCGGACGGAGTTATAATAAGTAGTCGATATGCTTAATTGATATATATATAAATATTAATTTCTACTTCCGTCCATTTAAAATAGTATACTTGCATAATAATATGATTTTGACTTGTTCTATGAAATAATAAATGATGTATAAACTGTCCATAGAAAAGCTCACTGAATGTTTATGTCATATTTGTCTGTTCTATTGTGATATAAACCCAGAATTATCCATTTTTATTCCTGGGGTATTGAGTAAGGCCTTTTCAAGTAATTGACCGACCACTGGAGGAGTGATAATTTAAGTAGCTGTTAGTTTGGGTGTTTGTTTGGTTGTTGTTGTTTGTTTGTTTTTTTGGGGGGGGAGTAAGCGATGTTTTAGAATTCTCACTTTTTACGTTCAATGTTTTTGATTGTCATGACCACTTGGTTATAATCAATTCAGGCTTTGGATTTCAGTCAGTATAACAAGTGGACTGAAGAGTTTTGAATTTATCTCTGACCACAAACAGCATCGTCATAATTTTTTGTTTCCTAAATAATTCCTTTTTC